CATTCTGCTAGACTTAAAATGGGAAACCATTCCAGCCAACACATGCATATTTTTCACTACACAAGCCTGAAAGTGCAGAAGGTGCAGCTCACACTTCAAGACAGACTTTTCCTCCTCCTTTTGTTTCTGTCACAGAGCTATGGATTTACGAGGACCCATGACAATAGGACCCTGTGGCAACCATCCTAAGATAAATCTTGCTCGTACAAACATTTTCAAAACAGGCAGAATATCTGAGTCATGCAGGAAAGCATGATGCACTCCTGTGGTTCACCTTTCAGTTGAAACTCTCTGCACTCAACCTGTACGTTCATGGAAGCCAAAGAGCAAATAATGTGACAAATATAAAGGATTTATTCCAGGAACTGAGTAACTGCTTCATGAGTCAGACTGGAATTAACCTGCAAGGCTGCGTAGAGGTTAAATTCAAAGAAGGTATTTCAGAGATGATGTTAGGATTAATACAAGTCTCTTTACCCACAGAACTGTGAAGAGCTGAACAGTCTCTAGAAGCACAAATCCAAGGACATCAGTTGCTGCTTAGCTTTGTAATTTGTCTCCAACTCCAGGAACAGCTGACCTGCTCCACTGCAGCAAGCACATATCCACTGCCAGCACTGAATGCCAAATCAGAGCGACAAAACCTCCTTCACACTCATTTGCCCTTTTTCCACCAAGATTCCCACATCACACTCCTTAGAGCTGCGCTGGTGTTCACAATAGCACTCTCTTTTACCTTTTTATCAGTACAAGCCACTTGTTGCCAGCCTAGCTTTTTCCTATTGAAAGCGCATTTGTCAGGCAGCCAAGGGTTTGAAAAATAAAACGTCCAGAGGGCGACAGTCTCTGCCTCCACATAACCACACCCAAAAGATGCTCTTGACAGAAACTTCCTCCCACTGAAGTCCTCCCCTCTCTCAAGTCCTCTCTGCAAGAGAAAGCTGGGCTAGTATTTCACACTATTTTTGAAACTATGAGGTTAAGCAAATATGAACCTCTACCACTGTTCTCTTAGTTCTGATGAAATAGCATATTTTGATTTTCCTTAAAACTCACCATACTTAAACATTAAAAACTCCTCGTGGTCTAAAGTAAAAGAGAGCATTCACACATTTTCATAACAGCTCAGAAATATCAAATGGTATAATACCAGATAAAAACCATTACTGCAGTAGAATCATGCAACATTTTCATAGCCAAGATGCAATCCCAGCACCTCAATTTCAGCTGCACCTCAGGCAATACTAACTTCTCATATAGTAATTTGTCATAGATCAGAGTAATACTTATTCCCCTTTACTCTCCTTCCCCCCAAAAAATCAGTAGATGAATAAACAAGGATGCACTGCGACAGGTAAATTGAAAGATTTTGATGAGCAACAGTAGTCAAGTTTGATTCTTTCTCTCCCAGTGCTCCACTCAATCTTGGCATTAGAAATGTAAGATATCAAAAGGGAAAAGTGAGCAGTAAAAAAATGCAACGACAGGGTACTTGAAGTTTTGTAGAACATTTTCTATCACTTCAGCAGGTGAGAAAAAACAGGAAGCTCAGGCATGACATTTCAGTAAACTGTACTACTGGAAGACTATTTGCTAGCTAAAGTATGATGTTTTAAAAATACTGTGTAGTAAATGCCATATTTTCAATGGATTTGATTTCTATGTGAAACAGGAAAGATGCCACTTTCTTTAGAGGGAAAAAATGTTGGAGAATAAGTATTCTGGTTTTATTAAAAAAATAAACCTTACAATGCAGAAGGGTGCCATGCACAAGGGGCACACAAGAAAAATACTGTGATGCTGAAACTTAATGAATTTACAGTTCTTACTATTCCATTAGTGCTCTGAAAGTAATCAGAATAGGAACAAAAAGCCAAACCATAAATGCCTGATTTCTCCTGGGTAAACTGGTAGTTAAACTGCAGGGAATTTATTTTAATTCCAGCAGCAAGCAGGGGGGCTTGGGAGACCCCACATCAGATTAGCAGCAATGTTTTACAAATGGGCACTGTTGAATTCCCCTGCATCCCAGTTTTGGAAGCATGTTTCTATGGTGAACCCGAGGAGGGACGTTACATGGCCCTGCCTCCCTCTCTCCCAGCTTTCAGGAAGCTATGAAGCTAATTTTCCCCAGCAGTATTCTCTGAAGGAAAAGTTCACTTCTTGTGAAGGTAACATGTATTTTTTAATTATTATTATTATTTTATGCCTCCCCAGGGAAGGTGAGGAGGGGGGAGCTTCCTTGCTCAACAGAGAAAGAAATTTTCCTGTATCAGTGCCAAGAATAGACACCCTAAATTCAGCGATCCTAATCTCCAGCCATCCATCAGCAGCAGGGTGGGACCAGCTGATTCAAGTTTTCTATTAGCTGGTGACTTTGTGTACTAAAATAAGTCTCTGTACCACCCAATTGTTCCTGCTGCTGTGCTCTGCAAAGCACAGTCAGCCAGCAGCTACCTTGGCTGTAAGCACTTCCCCAGCAGGCCCTTTATACCTGGCACCATCCTCTTCCCACCAACCCTTCCAACTGCCTGAGTGCTCCTGGGACTCAACACCACGAGCCTTTCCTGCAGTATTTCCTCCTTCATCCCTTCAGCACGCATCAGGGAAAATGCCAGCTCCAAGTATCTGCATCACCACAGGAGGCAGAAAGTGGGTACAAAGCTGCAATGGCAATTGTGCCTTCACAGGACCAATTAGTATCACACACACAGTGATCAAGGCACATATATAGGGCACACTGTGGTACAAAGGCAGGATAAAATAATAAACCTCCATGATCTACATTTTAAAAGGCACAGGAAGATAAAATAGTTCACTAACATAGCCTAATAAATTATTCTGTTGGTCAAATATTAAATAAAGCATGTTCATTGCTTTTTGTTTGGGCCAGAGTGTAATTGATTAATATTATTCCATTATTTACACAGTAAAATCTAGAGCAGAATATATAAACCAGCAAACAGTTTGAAAATAACACTAAATAAAACCAGTTAAAATTGTATGACCAGGACTAACAGCAAACTGTCAACCCCAACAGACAACTCACACAGTTGGTACTCTGCAAGTATTTAAGTGCCATAGATCAGTGCCAGGTATAGAGAGCACAAATAAAGAATGTGAGACCAGTTCACCTCAGTTAGAGAAAGGCATCTGTCTCCATGGCTCACACAAACCTCCATTCCCATTGTTATTGTAAGCCAGGATCACTGGATCCTGGCAGCATGGGCCATGCACAAGTGTATCAATCTTTAGCCAAGATAAAGGCAAAAGTTTCATGAGTTCAGAAAGCTCCTGAGTGCCAGAGGAATGATAGACATGTATATTTGATCTAGAGCTTCTCTGCAGATTTGAGCCCAGAACACTTTGGACTCCAGGTTTGGATTCAGTGTCTCCATTAGCCAGAGAGAAAGGCAGCTGGACATGTCAAACAAAGGAGACAATACACCTGCTACCACAATTGTGAAGAGTGACTGAGGATTTTGGGAGTTTCAGGTAACTCATATAAACAAAGATAAAAATTCAGAAAGCTACAGACATCCCCCTCCTAACTACCTCCCTTTCTAATGACAAAACTGGCATTCAAAAAACCAACACAATGCCATAGGTCTGTCATTCCTTTGAAATAAAAGGCCTCCAAAATCAGAAGTGAAAATATGAGGTTCTCCTTTGAATTTTTTTTTTTTTTTTTTTTTTTAAGAGCTAAAAATTCAATAGAAACCTCAGGAAAAAAAGGAAGAAATACGAATTAGCTTTTGATCAATTAATTAGTGAGGCATTTTGAAGAACCTCACTGATCATGCCCTAGCAGGGATCTTCCTACTATTAAATTAGTAAAGCAAACAAACAATATTCAAGGAGTCTGCATTATACATGGCCAACACAGTAACATATGCCAAGTGTTTAGTCTCCTATAGCAAATTAAGGAGAGATACTATGCAATCCTCAACTCAGCTTTATGGAATTTTGAAAAAAAGAATGCTAAACATTTTTTTCAAACAATGAAGTTTTGAGTTAGGAAAATCAAAATTAAAAGAGTTCTTTACCCAAAATTTAATAGATCATCTATCATACCAATACATCAACTAAACAAATGCTGAGGTTTGCATCAACTTAGTTTACTCAGGAGTAAACAATTAAGTTACTCTACATTGTAGATCTCCACCTAAACCATTCATCATGAAAAATTCCCCTGTGCAATGTATCAACAAGTGATTCTCCACTGCTGACTGAAGGGAAACCACCACCAAGGCCAAACCTATGCCAGCAATGTAACACCAACCACTGCAGACAGAGCATCTCTCCAATTCCGATGGCAGAGTACAAACCAGCCCCCTTTTATTTGCACTGTAGCTGCTAACTCCTCCAGAAAGCAGCTCTGTTTTCTGCTACACTGAGATGGGTCAAACACAAGCACTATAGCAGATGATGATGATAATTTTTATTACCTGTGTGACACAGAAATAACATGCATTAGGCATCTCCATGTCATGAACCTGATTCCAACTTCAACATGTTATCACTTGTAAGGCATCCTGCAGGAAATTTCTTTTTGCCTACTAAAATAAATGCTCTTATTTATTAAAATGTAAAGATACAAAAAAATAATTACTTGTGTTATTTAACCAAATGTTACTTTCTTTTCCACTGTCTTTACATTTTCAATGCATTGCAGACTGTGTAAAATACACCAATGGAAACCTGGAAGTTTTGTCACTTAGGATGGTTCCTCTGGGAGGAACACACTGATCAGACTCTGAAAGGATCAGTGCAAAAACAGCACCAAATTACTCACCACTGGATTGCACTGAATAAACCAGTCACTTCAAACAGTGATTTCTGTTTGCAAGCAGACCAGATGTAATACACTGGGTAATACAAACATTACAAAAACCTGTGTAAGGGCTCTGGAACATAGCAGTGACAATTCTGTAGCCCACCAACATATGCACAGGACAAATATTTCCAGGTGCCACATACAGCATAGAGAGACAGCTTACCCTTTCCACTTGTCCTTCTTTGTGCTTCTGTTTGTACACTTTCAGCTTTGGAAGGGAAGTCTCTGCGTAGTTCTTGTCTTCCATGCCTTGGAGGAGTACCCCATGGAATGCCAGCCTGCAGGTATTGGCATGAATATCTGTATCCAGCTTAGAGCCAATCACAAGGCACAGTTTAGGACAAGTGACTGGTTTTTCAAACTCCAGCAAAGCCCACTGCTGTTTTGGGAGCTGCACTTCTCCTGTCTGGTCATTTTCTTTGTTCTCCTCTGAAGAAACTGAGTCCTTGGACAAATATTGCTCTTGATAAAGATAATCTTTTTCAAAATCAAACTCATTTTCTTGAATTTCTTCATTGAAGTCAGCAGGGGCTGGACTGAAAAACATCACTCTTCCCATAACTGTCTCGTGACCGACTGTGATGTGGAACTTGGCCTTAGTCTGAAGGGCTCCTCGAAAATACTGAATTTTCTTCAAGGAAATGATGGCAGCGTGGATGGTGTGAAGTGAATCTGGGGTGCAAATCAGGCCTCGTTCCAGCAGCTTGGGATCAAACTGGGTCACGCAGACACCTACTCTGTCACCCTGCATTGCATAAGTCACAGGAGTATGGAACATCTGCATGGACTTGACCCTCTTTGTCACCTATGGATGAAAGGGGAACAAAAAGAATGAAACAATTAATTGCACATGAGTGCACTCATATGCTTATGTCACATGATATCTGCTTATATGGTGATGTATGAGCCACACATGACACCCTGCTGTCTTGTAAGACAACTGACCTTCTAGAAGAGTCCACAACTCAAAAAGTAGAAGGCAAATAGTCTGAGAACTCCATCACTTAAAATTACCACATATCTGAGCCCCCTAGCTTATTCTTCTTCTGTTCATGAGACTGAAGATTATCATGACCACAACTAAATTGATATTTACATCATTTGTGCTCTATCTGCAAATAATCAGATATACCCACACCATGGAATAGCTTAAATATACTCCCTTGAGCATCTGCAGCATCAAAAGTATAGCACTGCAATACCCATTCATGCACTTATGTGTCTGCTTTCCCACCTCTTCCATGAAAATCCTTTCACACACCGCTTTGACATGGTTGAATACACTGTAAAATGTGCAGAGAAAAAAACCCCTTGTATTTGCACAGCACCAAGCACAATGAACTCATGAACCATCACTACAAAATAATCAGTAACACAAAAGCCCGCCCTTTCCTAGTCTATAGTATTCCATAGACTAAAAAATAAAATCCTCAAAGCTTTCTTAGGAAGATTTGAATGCTCATGAACATACAGCTAGCATTGCTGTCACTAAAATGTGGGCCTCCATATCTCAGGAATAGCATAGGAAAAGTGAAACACCAATCACTACTTATACTAAAATTTCCCAGATGCTATCAGAGTTTGGCCTTAATGAGCTTGCTATTGTATTACTTATTTCAAGGAAAGAAGAAGAATGAAATAAGCTTTTAAAGATCAGTCTAGGCTCAGCTTGATCAGACTAAACTGGTCTAGTTTAACAAAGATTCATTTCTGGCTTTTTTCTTTTTCAGTTCAGTAAACCTATACCCTTAGTAAGTAACCCCATCCCCTCAAGTTTAATGTAACCAAAAGTTTTTTCTGGTAATATGTTTATGGTGCCACCTGTTGCATTCCTACTAATGCTGGATGCTTGGATAGGTAACCACTCTGCTTCAAGTCCCTACATTAGATAGCTTTTAATACTGAAATTATCTCTTTGGCAATTAAAAAAAAAACAAAAAAAACCAAAAAAAATCTCCTAAATAAATACTTGCACAAGATTCCTTACTACAGAAAAGTTTTACACAGCATTTTTGAAGGGCTGAAACCTCAACACTCAGACCCAAGAACTGAACTCTCCATGAGAATGCTCAATTCCAGAAATACTTTTTTTAGTATGCTTTTATCTACATGCAATAGATTATACTGTGAATGTGTACAGAACAACAACATTGCTAGGACAAATCTCAACTCTCAGCATAATTTCTTCTTCCATCTCTCTCTACTTATTATCAATTCTACAGCTATCAAAAAGGTTCATGCCAAATGCTACTGTGCAACTCCCAGCATTCAAGCTTTTACTTTCTTACTCAGTTGAAACTATTTATCATCTAACTCCTGAAAATAAAAAACCAAAATATGCAAGCACTGATGAAGAGGATTCCAAACCAAAGGACTGGACTCAGCAGAGCTCATCCTCAGATGTCACACAGCTTCAGAGCACTGCATTTAGGCTGGACAATTCAGAACAGTCTAGGGAACTTAATTATTTTCATCATAGAGCTATTTACTCAGTAATTCATAATACTGAAAATATCAGCTTTTTTCTGCATGTTAGCTGCAACACATAAGTGGAAACAAAATGATGTTTTTCACATTCTCCTTTTCCACAAAGCCTGCTGCCCTGTATGGAGGACATCTCATGTGGCTCCAGATAATCTGTCTATGCCTATTCCCAACATCACCTGACCCAGAGGGGAACAAATTGCAGAAACTTAGATCAAAATAGAAGAGCAGATGAAAACTCTATTGGCTGAACTAAAGCCTTCAGTAACTGAAATATAAAGAGGTCTCCAAATAAGTTAGCAAAAAATGGTCACAGGCAATATACAGAAAGCTGTTTAAAAAAAAATCTAGCAGCTATATGCCTTCTGGAAAACAACAAAATATTGTATTCCTTTTGGAAATCATAATTATACAAATAACAATACCCATGAGCTTCACCACTATGAATATTGTTTGGGTTCCCTGAGCCTCTGGCTGCTAACCAAAATCAAAAGAAACACCCTGTTACAGATTATAATGTTGTAATAATAACATTTTTCAAATCAAATGCCACATCAATGTCTGTGATTTCCTGAAGAATCCACAAAATATAATGAGAAAGGAGATCAAGAGGTATGTTCATGTAAGAGAAAAAACCTTCACTAAAAATGCCTGAACCCAAGTAGTTTGTTAAGATATTAACTAATGTCAAAACAGACTTAAAAGGCCATTGTAAATACTTGGTAGTTTCAGTTTCAAGCATTTTTGTACTCAAATAAACACTCATTATCCCTTTAGCTAAACCTCCTCAACAATACTAACCACACAGATACATTGGAGAGAAACAATTTAGCATTTACCTCCAGCTTTCTACTGACTTCCAAGATTGTATTTTTAAAGGCTGGAAGTAGAGGGGCTTGAATCAAACCTTTCCCAAACCCTTCCTTCTTCCATCCACTACCCCTCCTTCTCCAGTTTCATACAGTTGCACCAATGGTGATACAAGTAATGTTGAAGGACGTCAAAAAGAAAAATGAAATATAAAAAACCTAAAGTTTTCTAAACTTAAGTGTTTCAAAGACATTACAAACACTACAAGAATGAATCTGTAGTATGAAAAGTACCAGCCCAAACAATTTTGAAAGAATTCTGTGATTTCACATGTGATAATACCAGCAGTAAATCAAATCTTTCCTCTTCTACAACCATGGATGGGGTCAATAAATTGGCAAGAACCAAGGAATCTTCCAGCACTGTCACTCCTCAAAACAGAACTGGAACCAGAAGATGCATAAGAGAACTGTCTAGTTTTCTATTTTAAATTAAGTCACAAAGACGTTATTATTATTATTATTCCAGTTTATATTATTTTTTAGAAATTACCCACCTAAACAGATGAATGAAAGTATTACAGAAACAGTCTTTGTATATGAATCTGAAATATCTTTTACAGAATTTAGATAACATTTAAGACTAAAAAATGTGATTAGAAAACACAATTGTGTGCATGTACTCAGAACACATATTGGCTTTTAATTAGGCATCCATGAAACTTTCCTCAGTCTTATGCCTACTCTCTCCTCTTAATTTAGCTCAAATGATTAGGCACATCTGACATGCAGCCCATAAACAGTGATCAGAGGAGAATGAACAAGTACTTCTGAAATATTCACTTCACATGATTAACCTTTCTTCATTGTGATTTACAGTTCTCAACCATAGATCACAAAGCTGGATTGTATCAGAATATAAGCTGTGTTCTGCTACATTCCTCAGTGTTCATCTACATTAAACAACACACAATTGCAAAGCATCACTTCCTGTGACAAAAGGCCTGCTGTAATTCCTATGTGTAAGATAAACATTGCAGTGGAGTATGGACACAAAAGTATTTTCCAGTGTTGAATGAAGCTCCTGTTGATACATTTGCTCATGGTCTTCACAGTTTCAAATGCCACTTCACAAACAGTTTGGATCCTGACTAATTATCTTTCAGAAAACATTATCCTACTAACTGAAAACACATGGAAAATTTGCAGAATCATGTAAAGATCCACCCACCCCTGCCCCCTCCTAGCCAAAGCAGGCTATCTGTGCTGCTCCCAACTCTCTCCCAGAAGGAAATTGTGACTGTGCTCACCCAGAGCTCTCAGAATCACCTGATTTCCTTTTAGCTGGGTCTGGCTTTCACACAGGTCTGCTTGTCCTCAGACATGAGCAGGCAATGCCATTGCATCACTCAACCTACTGAGAATCACCACTTCATGCTCATCTATACAGTACCCTGCAGATTATTTAATCAGCCCGTCTATACTGGCTCTAATTATTAGCTATTATTGTATCTGAAGTTTCCATAAACCTATCAGAGAAAGAACATATTCAAGCCCATTTCTTTTTTTCCCCTCCTGTTCTCAGTGCCAGAACTGCCAAAGGAGCACACAGCACAGCATCTTAACTGACCATAACCTCTGTTCCAAGAGCATAATGTTTGTAGGAGCTAGAATCTGACCAGAACACAGAGTGTGACTGCGGGGTGGGTTAGATCACCCAAAGTGAGGTGGAGTTGCATCTCTTTCAAAAGGCCAGACATGGAACCAGCAGAGAAGTGAATCAGGGAGTTGGTCTGCACCCACTGTATCAAATAACAACAGCCAGAGTAGCTTTAAATCACTGATTTCCTGTTTTCTGAGCAGACCATGAACATCAGCACAGTGTTTCATTCCATTACACTCTGATCCTGACAGAGACATTTGCCCACGGTTTTAAATACTCCAAATGTAGGGGTTTTATTCAAGAGACTCAAGTACATAAGTAAAATTCATCTTTATTTTGTCTGGCCTTTAAAATACAAACAGAGAAGCAAGCACTGAAAAGGGTGCAACTGACCCCCAGTATTAGATTTGTTTCTCTTATGCATATCTAGTTTCCCTATGTAAGGGATTCCTACAAGCTATAACAGAGTTCTAAGCTTTCACATATTTTCTTTAGCTTTACAGCAATGGATTTTTCAAGCAGGGAGTTGGGACTGGATCACTCAGTCCACCCCTCCACCACCAGAACGAGGTAAAATACTTCAGAGCACTGTCCTGAGCAACAGGAATTTGTAACCAAGACCAGCTATGACAAATATCTTTGGCATTTCATTGCATTTATTTCAAGAACCCCATTTTAGTTCTGAAAATGCTGTCTGGAAAACAACTTTATCTTCTATTGTCCACAAAAATTACCCAAGGCCCATTTTAGCAATCCACTCAAAGTGGGAAAATTAGGCCTTCAGACCCAGAAAGCGAACAATATTGAGTGCAACTTTAAAGTGACAGGTTTTACTGCTTGTGAACCATG